AAATGGAATATCTTTTCCTTTAGAGTATTCAATTACAAGTTTTAGTTCATTGGTTGAGGTAGTCTCCAGTCCTTCTCAGCCGTTCTTTGGGATGTTGCATAACGCTTCTTCAAGCGATCCGGGTCGTCACAAAAAACGGTTGCGAAGGTGTGAGACAGTCGTAGGCGTAAATAAAGTAACCACCCAAGCTTTGAGAGAATGGGTGCAGCTAAGTTCTCTGCCTAGAAACCTATCACGAGTTAGGCGTCACGTCCTGGCTTGTATTCTTAGTATTCCCTCTTAACTCCACGCCTTTATCCAGTTACAAAGCTGTCCATTTGTCAATTTATCGCTGGCAAGTCAAATCACTTTCAAAAGTGTTTTACATGCTGAGAATTTTTCATGGAACTTTTGGATCAACTTATAGATTGCTGAGTCGGATCTTATTATTTGGTAACCTTCCGCCGCGAATTTTCTCGATACAAAAATGTTTATTTAAGACTGGTGACGGCCCCTCCTACTATAATCTAACTCCTTCCCTCTCAGTGGGTTCTTTTAATATAATTATGATTCAATATGAGCTCATCGTAGAACCCGACGAAAACCTGCATTGAAGCATTCCTTCTCGGCAACGTGGAGAGGAAGCAAAAACACGAACGATAGAGTGCTAGCGGAACTATTTGTTGTCGATTGATTTCGTACCATTTCTCAGGCGACGAATTTACTAATTTCGTTCAGATCAGTGCATTTAGAAAAATATATATCCCTTCAGATAAAAGATTATAGTGCGACCCGTGATGTATAACATTTCTTTAATTGGTTTGTTCTTTCTTTCTTTCTTTCACCTCAATGCAGGACAACAATCTCCAAACGGAAGTAAGTATTTTCGCAACAGTATCTTTCAGCATTTTAGTGATCGCCCACAGGAAATCTGGTGGTCTGCGCGTGGATTCTTTATAAAGAAGTTAGGACTCACCATATCGTGAATTCAACACGCGCATCACGTGAGTCGAATCAGTGCTGTGCGTTTTGAACCAAACGCGGCGCGCTTCTGGAATTTTGCCGTCAGCTCCTTTTAGTCATCACCAAATCCAGAAGTTGTCGAGTCGAGGGGATCAGTAGCATTCATGGAACATTAGTAAACTTAAATGTTGTAATGACGAGGGATCGAATAAAGTTTTGCTTAAATTTCCGTTGTGGTTTGGAAGTTAATTCGATAATGAGTGATGCGCTGCGGCATTCAAAAATCGAAATAGTACCTTCAACCCCTACCTTGCGGTCACCATTTTTTCAGGGGTACCAGAAGGATTTTCAAGTGTGTTTGTGGGTGTGTGTGTGTGTGTGTGTGTGTGTGTGTGTGTGTATGTTGATGAAGTTTTTTCTGTTCTCAAAAGGTTACCTTTCAGTTTCTTTTATACATTATAACATCCATAGACAACGATGTATGAAAGGTCGGTATCCGTAATCCGTCAACGATGAGACATTTCTTCCTGTCCTTACCGGAAGCAGGCATATTCTGCTGTCTCTATCATGGGTGTGGTAAGAAGGAGCATTAAATCAGGCACGCGCCAAAATGCTAGAATTCCTAACATCATCCCCTAAGTCGAAAGAGTTGGGGGGAAAATTGGTCTGCTTAAAATGAAAACCGCACAACTCCCACCTAATCTTGTGGGGCTGCCACTTATATGTTCGCTGCCGAACTCAGCTGTTAAAGAAGAAATTTTTTTATGGCGCTGTCGATTCCACTAAAGGACTCCCTTCCCCCACCCTACTGGGTATTTCTGTCCACGCCTCACTTCAGCGGTTCTTAAATTTGTGTCGCGTGATGAACTGTGGTTTGCCGTCGACTTCACACGTAGGTGTCTCAAAGCGAGCTGTTAATTCCGGGCGCTGCCTCAGCATTGTTAGGGATCTTCATTTCTGATGAAATTTTTGTTGCTCAGCGACAAAAATGATATTCTCTGCGCAGCACCTTGTCACAAGGGTATGCCTTCATTGATTTCACCTTTGAACCATTACTTCCCCAATTCTTCAAATCCCATGAGAGACCGGAACACAAAATTTCTCCTTTAGGTATCGATATAATATCAAACAGACAAGTAAAGACAATAAAGAAATATCAAAAAGTGGATTATTCTGTTGATCCAATACAAAGAAAACGTACAACAAAGGTTTTCAAGTTCGTCATAAAGAATCCTTTTCCATGTTTACGGTCCCTTCGTTCCCCCTATAAGTCTATTTTTAATTCTCAATTATTTTGTCTACCGCTTGCAAATTATTTCAAGATTGTTATCTGTCAATGACGCACGTCTAAGATAACTCGAATAATAAAAAAAATTCCTTCGACCGAATACACTGTAGACACTTAATTGTTCTTTCTGGCGTCTAAAAACCAGGTTTTGAAGCAAATCATTGAGTCAACTGCAGTCAAATATCTCTTAATAATTCAGAAGTGCTCTTGACATCATTCAGTAAAACGTTATTCCAAATCTTGACGTCACGTTGCTAAATTAAAAGCAGGTAAACGCAGACCAGGCGAACATACGAAGCTTTATAGCTTCCCGTGTAAATATTCAGGAGGAGGGGGCAGGAAATATTTCTGTTCCAACTTCCTATCAGCGTAAGCTTTTTTCGAAAATTTTGATGAATAATTCTGCACTCTTTCTTATTTTGCTCCTCATCCTCGCCTCCTGAAAATCGCGTGTCTTGCACCGGAAATTAATTCTTATGTCAGAACAGCTTTATACTTCGATGAGCGAACTCGTGAGACATCAGTAACCTTCTGGAAAGTCTGTGGCATGCATATTTATTACTGACAAACCCGCTAGATGAAAGGTCTTCCCGTAATTTGAGCCATCGATTTACGCGGTTTAGCCCTACAAATGTTTTCTGTTTTTTTCTTTTGGACTTCCGCGCACGTGGATTTACGCAAATATTAACAAGCGCTTTCACCACGTGGATTGCAACGATCTTGCTGTAAAGAATTAATAAAAAATGGAAAGTTCGTATTCGATTTGTGTGATTCCCTCGCTGATATTTAGCTAATATGCTTGCTGCGCTACATGATGCTCATTTTTTCCACTTTAATCTTGTTTTTGTTGCGTTATTGATGTATCAATTTGCGCCGCGAAGGTAAAAGGTTAGTGAAATACGAGCTGGAGTCGCAAACAAGCCATCAAATTGTAATTAGATATTCGCAAATGTCCAACGGGTAAATTTGGAATTATCCAACGGTCACCGTGCATTTTCGCGCAGAATATTAGCTACGAGAGCGAAGCCTTTTCTAGCTTCGCTAAATCGGACCACAAGAAAGATTGAAAGCTGTACGACTTTTACCATTTTGGTCACAATCGAGGAATCAGCTGCTCTAGTGGAAAAATATTGAGGCTATTTTTTACCAGAAATTTGAATTTACTACCACAAGTGCAAACTTTCGGGCCATGTGAGTATATTTCTGTTTTATTCGGTTGATTTTTTTCCACAACACTTCTTTCATTTAACTGCTAGCTAATTAGAGAGGATAATAGTGTCAATGTTCTTGCTGAGAAGTCTCGAATCAATTGAACGTTAATTGAATTTATCAATAATTCAAATATTTTTGTCATCCGAATTAAATCAAAGATACAATTTGGATTTTTTAGTTTAAAACGGGAACAGATCCTCAAGTTAGGTATGAGCCGCCAAATTGCGTTCTTGAATGTTATTAATAATCTCCGCTGGAGAGAAATTGTCCCACTGACCGCTAAAACCCTCCCATTAGAGTGCATTACAAAACTTCAGTTGCAGTCCAACGAAGTCCAACGATTAACTACAGTTATCAACAGTCTAACGCTGGTAGAGCAAGGGAGAGGGCGTGGGACCGAGGAAAATAAGCGCTTTAGTATCATATTTACTCTTAAGTTGCCATTTCAATTTACCACGATATCCCTTAGAATTTTCGTCACCAATTTAGATTGAAAATCTCCGAACACACACACCGAACTATATCGTAACTAAGCAATTATAACCGACAGAATTATCGAGAGTGGAACAGAAAACACTAAATCACTGGTGAACGAGGTTTTCTCTCTCTTAAAGGAAATTAAACAAGTCTTTAAAGGAAAAAGAAGCGTTTTCTTTACTGATAACTATCTCGTCTTTTCTCGACCCTTAGATTTCGAAGAATTTAACAGAAACACAAAATGTAAAATATTTCGTATAAATTTTATTTATTTCTTTATTTAGCCCTCAACCTCGTTCCCAGGGCCTTTTCCCTTAGCTCCGCCCCCAACTAAGGGAAAAGGCTTTGGGAACGAGGTTGTTTAGCCCTTTAACCCCCCGATTCAGATGTAACTTCTCCCTACAATATCCATACACTATCAAGCAAACTGGTAACGAGAATACTCAAACGTATCGGCAGAAGTTGTAATCTTGGTCTCACGCCAAATTCTCATAACTAATTTAAAAGGCAATGTGTAGCAACTAGAGGGGAGAATTGATAATCAGATCTTGGGAGTTAACGCCTCCATTATTTGCGGTGAAGCAGTTGTCGACTGCGTGGAATTTCTAATGAAGAATTTGCACCTTAGCGCGCTTTTACGCACCCTTGTCATTGGGAAGCACAAGTTTAGATTTTCGGTGTAAGAGCCTTTGAAGTGTTTCTTTGTATATCACTCTTATTCCCCTGGGCTCCATTGTTTTGAATACTCTTCTTTGTTCTCTGTCACTCGTGAATGTAACACCAAAGATGAGTCACAAATTTTCACACCTTGTTTTTGAATTGAAAACTATATACAAAACACTGGTCAATCACTGTTACCAAACGTTCAAGCAATTTGGTCAGGAGATTTCTGTTTCTTTTATTTTTCAGCTTTTAAAAACCCAAAGCTACAAATGGCAAGCAATTTCAGGATGTTTCTCATCGTGTGCTTGGTATCCCTGTGCTTACTGCCCAGTTTGCTAGCGAACCCGATGCAAGCGGCTTTGGCCAGTGTTCACTGCGAACGCAGAGGTTACACGTTCCCTGTTAGAGTCGTGGGCTGCCAGGAGCGGATGGTGACTGTCAATACATGTCTGGGGACCTGTCTGTCTTTCTCGACGCCAACTGGATCCAAGTATGAACAAGTGGAGTCCTGCACTTGCTGTGAGCCGACAAAAAAAGCGACGATCGATGTAGGGCTCTGGTGCCAAGACACGAGCAATCCAGGCAACGTTGTCAAGTATTTTCATAAAGTGGAGAGTGTGACTGAGTGTGCATGTGCTTCTTGTTGATGTAGCTGAACAAAAACATTGCAGAATCCTCAAACCTTCTACGAACATTAACTGGCTGTATAAATCATGAATTTAATTTTCGATTGACATTGGTAAATTTGAGTTAATTAGGCTGTTTTTTTGATGTGACGAAAGCATTCCTTGTCTTGCTGTTACAATTACAGCCTCGTTCACTTAGAGATATATTCTAATATTTTAATAAAAATGTAAAAAAGAGGTTTTTACTGCACAAATATTTTTAGTAGTTACCACGAGCAGTTTTAATTTGTGAAGCTTTAGCTTGCGTTTACTGAGCGACGAAGTCCAGGTGAGGCTTGCGAGGGGTCTGGCGCCAAATTTGTCGTTCGCCCGAGTCTTTTGAGAACAAGTCCTCTTAACTATTCATGTGAGATAGCGAGCAGAGAAAAGATCCCCCTTCCCCTCCCCTGAGAGCAGATACCTGGTATAGCAAGAAACTGTGAATATCTAGACGCAATGGTGTTAAGATCGTGATCATTTCTCTAATGCCCTTGACTGTGATGTTTGATTCCGGGGCGACACTTTAAGGAGACGTAAATTACGTATCATTCCAAGGGGTAAGGGGTTGAATTACCTGGCTATTCCTGTTAGGCAGGAAGGCGAGAAGATGAAAGAGAAATATGAACTTACTGATATATATTGTTCGGTTTCGCACTAGATTCTCAAAACTAAAATTCAAAGAAATGCATGGTAAACAGTTAGGAAAATCGATCTTGAGATTTCTGCAATGATTGAGTATCAATTAGAGTGGAAAACGCTTTTCCAAAATGCTGAATATTAGGAGCATGTTAGTATCGTATCTTATTTCGATGTTTGTACAACGCCTATCAAATAATGCCCGTCTCCCGTCGAAATTTAACACGCCCAGAGTTTGGAAAAATTTCTGCTCGGACGAAGCAGGATCTGAGATGGGTAAAGAAGCCCGCTAAACGACACGTTTGCGGCATTACGGTTGAGCTCCGTTTGGTCCGCAGGATTCAAATTCGATCTATTGACCTATAAGACGAGGTGAGGTCTGACTATTTTATGTTCAGAATGAGCAGAGAACTGGTATGAAACGAAAGTGTTAAAATGCCGCGTAAGTTTGAGTTCTTTTGATTTGCTACTCTTTGATAATCGACCTTTGAGAGGGATGTTCATCACCAGTTTGAGATCTTGTTATAGAGGGAGTACATGTGTATTTAATTTGTCGGTTTATGTCATTTTTAAGATCAGTTATTTGTGTTTTCGCATCTTAAGTCTTGATTCTCTGTGTTCAATTTGGTTTTCAGTTTTACCGGGCTTTTGATGTTCAAAATTGTTGTCGTTTTTTCTTTTAATAATAAAAAACCTATTTTTCGGTTATGGTCGTTCCCAGTCCCTCCTTTTTGGCGAAGTCGGTAGCGCGAGTCCGAAAAATCGGTGGAGGATGTTCTTGGTGCTCACCTCATTCGCAGAGCTCCGCGCGGCGCGAAAACATCAATTTTCATTTTTCTCGTTGTCTCTTTTTGGACTTGCACGATGGAATTCGTCAAAATGGTGGGACTGCCTGTAATCGACATTTCTATGCTTCATCATTCCACCTAGATTTGCATTTTAATTCGCTATAGATTGGTTCTAATTTTCAGTTTTGGTTTCACTAGGAATTTAGTTGGATTTTTGATCTTCCATATAGGCACCAAAGCTTCCATGCAGAAGATGTGGCCTCTTTCCGTAACATTTTTTTTTTTTTGTCTTTGACAAATAATCGGTTGTATAATAGAGCCACAAGCTCGTACATGTAGCGATTTTTATTTAAACAGATTTCTCCGAGTAACTCACGAAATCTTGCATGGATGAAAAGGAAAAAACTTTGTGTACACATAGTTGAACTCTTTACACCCTAAAATCAGTCGGCATATTCTCCATACCGGTTCTCTATACATTTCCTAAGGTGCTGACAAGGAGAATTTGCCTAACAATCAAGAACTTCTTTAGTTGGTGATCATTTCCTGTATTCTCGTGACCTTAATGTGTCATTCAGGGATGATATTGTAAGGAGAAACTAGATGCCAGTCACTCTTAAAGAGTCAAATGGTTAAAAAACAAAAAGGTTGGAGTCATGAAACAGCTCAATTTTGAATTCATTTTATTTTAAATGAAATTAATTCTTTTCATTGTAACGTACCGTGATTACAACTGAGGTGAAATACAAAAATTACAAGCTTCAAGACGTTATCTTTACATAGTCACGGGGCATATTCTTTAAATATCATTAATCATTTGAAGTGAAAAAGCTCCTGTCTATAAAATCAATGAATTGTTCCAGTTCTCATGTTAAATGGCTTCGATGTTCGCTAATTGTATTCTTTCACGTGCACATTTGGCATTTGCAATGCACTGCCGTTTCTATTTGTACCAAAGGAGAAACCCCTGATTGGCAGCCCGGAAGACTGAACGCCTTCAGTCGAGTTTCCTTCGGCTTGCAACATTCGCAAACCTTCTTGAAATAAGGTGGACGGTCCTGCGGTAATGCGTACGACGCGCATGTGCCAAGGCAGGCCTTTACTCGGACGGTCTGGGATCCACAACCTGATTTGGTGACGCGTTGAGTGTAAGTTTCCGGTTTGCAGTACACTCCGTACTTATCAAAAGGGTTGGAGGACTTGTTCGACGAGATGAGGGCGAGAAAAACAAAACAGAAAACTGCAGGCAGCTTAGACATGGCTAAAATTGACCTTTAAATAGACAAAGAACCGTTAGGTAAAGACTAGTCATTAAATTCTCGGAGGGGGGGGGTAAATCCTCCAACCTCCCCCCTCTACCCTTTATACCCTTGCATCACGCATCAGTTTGCATACTCTCGATACTGCTCTCTATAGATTTCCTTTGGTACTCAAAGGAGAATTTATTTACTAATCAAGAGCTTCTTTATTCGGTGGTCTTTTCCTTTATTCTCAAGCCTTTAATGTTTGATTTAGGGGTGACATTGCGGGGAAAAATTAAATACTGGTCACCCTGAGAAGTTTCTGAGTTAAATGGCCTTGAATCGACAATGAAATTAAGAAAACTGATTGTTTGACGACGGTCATCTTGTCTAGGAATGCATCGAAACGCTGCTCAGACGTCAACTGAGACCTTTGTAAATCATGTGTAGAGTAACATGGTCTGCTAGGGAAGGTTTTCACAAATATTCCACCAATTTTAAAGATATGTTCTGGCAACTCCAAAATATCAGCCGCTCTTAGTTTTATCGTAAACCGAAGAACCATACAAAGTGGCTAAATAGATTACAAGTATATGGGAACTTTGAATATAATTTGACCAATATATAAGCTGTCTTGCCACCTTTTGGCAAGTTATCAAATTCATTGTTACTCCATTAAATGCTTGATTGCGTGCCCAAGAATCACGAACAACACGAAACCGCCAGTTTTTTGCTGTTTATGGTCGTGTGACTTCGCTAAACTTCAACGGTTTAAGCGCTTTGCTTTTGTATCGCGACTACTGAGAGAGCGCCAAACCTCTTTCAATTGAAGAGCCATTTATCATTCTTGCAACAGGGAAAGAAACGCCATAGCATTATTTTAATTGTTACAATGAAAAGCAAATACAGTATGAAATAATGTTGCAAGATTGCTGGCGCCTTGTTTCCCATTCACTCCTCAGAAGAAAAAAAAATCGTCAAGTCACTCTTTAAAGGCGTTAATTGCAGTCCTGCTAAAAAACGGCATAGCCATTCTTTGAAAAATAAAACGATGTTTACTATAAAAGCCAGAACCATTACAAACGCACATTACGAGCGTTCAGAAAATTTCCCGCCCGCTTTCTTGAGCTTTATAAATATATCTTCTTACACCGCAAGAGGACGCTAAGAAAACAATTTCGCCCATTAGCCTATATTACCAATTAAACTTGTTTACTTTCCATTCATTACCTACAGTGCAGTTATCTGCACGTTCTCTTTCCAAAGAACTACGCGAGTCTAAAAGGAACTTTGTTCGGTAAAGAGAGCAAAACGGTTGACTTGGAAGAAAATTGAAATTCCATATGTTAACACTCCCTTAGAAACGCACGAATTTTGTTATTAAACTGAAGCGCGGAAATACAAATAGAAACATATTTTTTAGTTTTAATAGTTTATAATGTTGGCGAGAGCATATTTCAGATGGAAATCGTGCGCAACAGTTTTGAATTAATCATCAAATTCAAATAGAAACATGTTATTTTTTATTGAAAGATTTCCAGTTTTTTTTATATTCATATATTCAGTTTGGGCAGACATCGTACATGACTTTTTTGAATTGTGCGCCATCTCATTTGGTAAACAATCACGTTTCTCACTTTTCCACGCTGGATTGTTCTTGTGTTAAAAAATCGGCTTAAAAACAAAAACAAAAAATGCTTGTTTTCAACCAAGGAGAAAGGAAATCTTTTTGTTTTTAAATCCTCTAAAGTCCCTAAGACAATAAATGTAGGAACTTGTATTGGACACATTCAGAGACCCTTGCGGTTTCTTAAAGTTCAACTCCCTACACCTTTGCATTAGTGTGCATATTCTTCATACTGTTCTAGAAATACTTTCCACGACCCCAGTACTGTTGCAGAGAAGCTGTTGATCAGTCAAGAGCTTCGATCATTTGTCCTAATATTCTTAATACCTCATCATTTTATTTAGTTCTGTTACTGTAAAGGAAAAAGTAGATGCTAGTCAGCGTTATAGTTTTGAGGACTTAAAACTTTTTATCACCTTAAAATTGCTCGTGTTTACTAACGCGAAGAGTTTGTCAAGCTTGAAAAAGCATGCTTCTTATTCTAACAAACAACCTCTTTTTTTTTCCTCGCTCTTCAACCGGAACACGGACTAAATCAACACAAGCTTTGGTGTGTGGGCGAGGGAAGTCTGTATCTTGTTTTTTTTTTTTTTGTTTTCTTTTTTTGTGTGTGTGCTGCAATCAATTAAGGAAGAACGCTTCAGTAAAGTAAGCATATTTTCAGCTCCTAAATGACACTCTAAGATATTTTATTAAATTTAGATAGGGAATAATTTCGAGTTGAAATACGGATCAATTTGATAGATCTCACTAGAACACGGAAATATTTATAATCACATAAATTAAGAAATTATAGCAATAAATCTAGAGAGTTCAGTTCATTGAAACGTTCACTAAAACGAGGCATAAGGCAATTAAAACTGCTCTGAGGAGCGTCTCCCATTCAAGGATAATTGCACGATTATTTTGTTATCACGTTAAAATTTGAATTTCAAATCAATTTATTCCACCGTGACGCAACAGAAGCAGTTTTCAAAGCATAGCTGTAAAAATGTCGTACCAATTTGGCACATTAGCGAACAAAGAGAACATTAAGGCACATACATACACTGTACTTGTGCCAAAGCGTGTTGTAGCTAAAATTGGCGGGCAACACAGTCTTTAACCGTCTCCAAATATCAGAGCCAAACACTTACCTCAAATGACAGTCTGAAGATTCAACGGAGCCACAGAATCGTAACTATGAAGAAGACACGACAGAAAACTGCTCCTGTGTTAATGACGGTACTTGCCAAATGAAATAGCGTATTAAATTTGAAAGATACGTTCACCGCCTACTCAAAAATTGCTCATAAGATTCAGAAAAGCGCGCTCTGGATACCCGATCCGCAAACTCGTCACTTCTGACCCTTCTCTGGCAAATACGACACTTTGGGGTCCCTCGAGAGGGCTAAAAATAACAATTTCACGTGGAATGGTCGGAGTCCGATTTCACTTTTGCTAGGGGGTCGGTGGGTGGGGCATTTTAGCCGCTCTTCATCGGAGAATGGGTTACTTTTGTTCCCTGTCGAAAATAAAAGACGTTTGATATTTTGTTATTAGATATAAAGAATTCTTTCCACCCACGTTTCTCATGATGAACCAGCAAGAAAATTCTTAGGTTATGACAGGGAGTTGCATTTCTGTTTTATATTTAGGAGTGGAAAGCGATATGGCTTCGTGGGTTACATAATTTTGAAGATGAATATCTCCTCTGGCGCATGCGTAAAGCTGCACGTTGTCTCACCATCGGTAGCTGGGCTTAGAATAAGTACTTAGAACCCCTTTTTTATGACGCATTTGCCAATGAAGACCTGCAATCATTGAGTTTTTTTTCAACCAGGAGCCCAGGTAATGGCTCCTGTTTCCATTGTACACGGATCCTACATGGTAACTGTGACTAAAATGGATAACCGCTTCGCCGTGGAAGGTCTGGTTACGTCACTAGTTTCCACTCAATACGAGAAAAATAATGAACGAAATATTCTTAGCTTCTCAACCCCACGTAATATGCCGCCAGCGACTCCGACAGATATGACGAACTCCCGTTATATTGAATGCATTATCCAGGGCCTGACATGTAAGCAAGTACCCCCTGAGAGAAGGGGCGGCCGGCAGGGGAAGAGGCGAGATATTTGATTACCTATCAATCTCATACATGTAACGGTGAAAATTAGGAGACTGGTTGTCTTCGGCCTGTCATAATGTCCTACTGATATCTTAGGCTGTAATCATCTTCAGCACAAGCCGAAAAGAGGGTTGAGGTTTAAGCCCAGATATTTTTTACTGTGAATCAGGGTTATCATTACGCCTAGATACAAAAATCCGGATTTATTTTCAGGAACTCCACTCAAACACGGTGTAACCGATACTTCAGAAAGGGGCTGGTGTTGACGGGAAGGACACATCGGTGAAATAACTTCCCAACACACATTTTTTAAAAAAAGGTTGTATCTTCATTTTATTTAAGAATACCTCTCGTAATAAATCATTCTGAATTATCGTCACAATAAATTCTGTTAAGTTAAATAACCAATTTGAATCACTTTACGATAGTGACGTCGTGGACATCTCAATACATTAATAATTAATAACTATCACTACTGCTTCAAACATTTCCATTATTTTCCATCACAAGTATAATCATTATATTAATCCATTCTTCAATCTTGCTAAGACTTCAGAGGCGTTAGTTGTAGCGTGACTCGATGCTTGCGTGACAGAAAGCTAAGTCCAGGAGAATTGCGTGACAACCAAAAGGCCGTCGCAAAAGGAGTATTTACAATTCTCTAAAGATAAAAAATGCTAAAACAAAATAACCAAAGGCTAGCTTCTGTATCGGGCATAATTTTTTTTACCTTCAAAATAAGTATTTCGGCGGTAACATTTCGTGAAGCCGTCGAACATAATCGTACTGTTTCTAAAACATTCGTATGTCGGACAAACAGCAATGAATCCCGAAGAATCATTTCAACAAGATTTCACTTTGATAATCACTGAATCTGAAAATGCAAAATAAGACTGCGCCTGCCCCTAGATAAAAAAAATACAAATACTCTTAAACTGCTTCATAAGGTCATGTCAGGCACAATGATTTTTTTTTTTTTTTAACTAAATCAAATATGAAAACCAAACTTCGCATTTCTCTTTGGGCTAGAAAAGCGATCTACCTTTCACACCTTAGTGGTAACAAAAATACTGCATCGAAAGACACAGAAAAACGTAATATTCGTGACATTTCAGCCCAAGGAGCGCTGGCACTCCGATTCGGCCTAACTCTGCAGAATTTCGCAGACCTTGAACAGATAAATGAGGACGGACAACTAGAAAAGTAATAGAGGTGGAGAGGTGAATGAAATATAAAATGTCATTTTATGGCGGGGCAGTCCTGAGGTAAATCCGTGGGTTCTGATTGGCTCTTACTCGGTCCGTATTTCGTTTTCATGGAAACGGTCATAAGTCGCGTGTTTTTGTTCGCAAAAGATGGATAACTCAAAATAAATAAGTTTGGTTTGAGTGTCATATAATGATTGAGTGATATATAATTCAGTGAACTACTGAGATAGTGGCCCTCAGTCGTTTTCTTTTGTGGACCTCGCTGCGCTCAGTCCGTACTGCCACGCCCTCGGGCCAATATTTCCAAGTACGACACTCACGCTCGGTCACTAACAGGTTACCATACAAAGGAATAATATATGAAGGTGTGGTCTGATCGTCCGGGTGAGTGTAGTCCTGAGAAGGACTGTTGTCGGTGGTAGTGACTGACGTTTCGACAACCTGTGCGAAGTCATCATCAGAGTCAAGTGAATGATTGTTGCCAGTAGAATGTTCTTATTCCAGTTCGTGTGAAATGATCGGTTGGTTTTGCCGTGATGTTATTGGCTGTAAGACTCAAGTGACGTAAGTCGGTCGTGAATGGTCTGTTTCGATCTGTCGGTAAAGTTAGGTCGTTCTTTTTCGGTCGTTTGTGATGTTTATGTCGTGAATGAGTCGTTTGTATGGAGCGGGTAGTTGTTGACATCTGTTTAGGGGAGTCTCTTCTAAGTTAGTAAACCAGCTTTCCAGAGTCAGTCGTTGAAAATAGTCAGTGCTGTAGGTTAGGCATTGCGCAGAGTCCCAGTCAATGTTGTGGTTGGTAAGTCGATGGTGTTCAGCAATGTGATTGCTGACATCACCTTTCCTCGTCGCCCGTCTGTGTTCAGTCAGTCTTGTTGTGAGGTTTCTGCCAGTCTCACCGATATAGGAGGCTTGGCAGTCGGAACAATTGATCTTGCCAACCACAGACTCCCCTAAACAGATGTCAACAACTACCCGCTCCATACAAACGACTCATTCACGACATAAACATCACAAACGACCGAAAAAGAACGACCTAACTTTACCGACAGATCGAAACAGAACAATCACGACCCACTTACGTCACTTGAGTCTTACAGCCAATAACATCACGGCAAAACCAACCGATCATTTCACACGAACTGGAATAAGAACATTCTACTGACAACAATCATTCACTTAACTCTGATGATGACTTCCGCACAGGTTGTCGAAACGTCAGTCACTACCACCGACAACAGTAATTCTCAGGACTACACTCACCCGGACGATCAGACTACACCTTCACATGTTACCCCCGGGTTCAAGCCATTTACTGCAGAGGAATAATAACCATAAACAACAACAAAATAAACAAACAAATGAACACACAAATTCCTTCAACCTCCCATCTCGCTGCAAGTTTGTTTTCTAATGGTCTGTTCCAAGGATATGAAGTCGTTGTTAGAATTCTGGTTGACAACGACTTGTGACGAAAAACACATAAATATTCAAGTTCTCGGTTCTGGAAAAACTGTCAAAAGATATTCCAACACGTTTCCATAATATGCATGATTGCATAATTTATCGACTAGATAGACTGTAAAATTCAATTTATCCAGATGGCCTAGCGTCATGTCTTCCCGGCAATCCGCGCAAGATTCTGTAGTGGTTTTGTGGGTAGAGGGCTGAAATCAGAGAAAGAAAATAAACTTCGAGATTAGTTCACAGGTGGACCAGAAAACAACAAAGTACGTTTACGCTATTTCTTGAATGTTTCATCGACTTCAGAACACCTACAAAAGTTAAACACCAGTATAAATGCACGCTGTTCCCATCTGGGTTATCCTGAGATTTCAATCCTTGCCGAAAATTTGATGGCGCTGGAACTGATATTGATGAAATGATTTCCACGAATAAGTAGGTGTTTTCATATAGAGAGGAAGATTTTTGATCAAAACAAAACAACAGCTATTACTACTAAGTTTGGTAGGTAAACAACACGAAGCAAAGACTGAAACGCCCTTCCAAATGACTTAATTGAGATATTAATGTTTGAATAATTACCTTTTCTGTTTATTGGCAGGAGCCTTAAGAAGTTCTTTATACTGATCACAGCGGATAAAACGCCGATAGCTGTCAGATTTCATCAGCTGAAATATGTGATCCTAAAAACAAAAGAATGATATATTAGCACGAAATGATGAAGCCTAATGTTGTACAAACGTAAAAGTCACGCGCGTTCGTCCGCCCTCGCAGAAGATTGAAGACGAGTCGGGAGAGGTTTGCTAGGGGCCTGGCACTACTAAATACCAGTACCGGCCCCTTGACAGACTTCAGGCCGGCTCGTGTTGTTCAAGGCCCCATACTTTCCAAAGGGCGAGAAACGCCCGTGCCGAAGCGCTTATGATGAAGGCCTGGGTCTGCTCCCACGCTAGTTTCATCTTGCCAAGCCATTACTCTATGAAGTAATGGCTTTTCTTGAACAAAAGCTCATCTTTCAAACCGGCAGTCTAAATCCCACAGGTATCAACGAACGCTTTTCATTCCACTAATTTATTCGTGTTTTTCTCGTTGCCATGTTCCCACCAATTGCGTAGCTCCATTTTCTGCCTTTAAAAGCACACACAACCCACAATTCCTCTATTCGCTCCGACGAAGGGCTAACGATCGAAACGTCAGCTTTTATAATCGTAACGGTGGCCAATTTTCCATTTCAACTTTGTTGATATATTGAAATTATTTCATTACTCTATGACTTCCTCCTACAGTGATAAGTCAATTTTCGACGCTGGACAGGCCTTGTTTTGTCTTGAGGCTCACCTGAGCGGCGTCAAACATATATCGGCCGGGATTCTTTAGATTTAACTCCACTTCTTCTCTTGTCTTGCAGTCCACGTTAATCGGAGACGTCGCACTATCAGATAAATACTCACTGAAATACAAAACAAAACAAAACAAAACAAAACTGGGAATAAGAAAATTTCAGTGTGATTTCTGTCATGGGAATAATCTTAACTTCTGGGTGTGTTACCCCCTAATAAACCTTTTACAACAAGTCAAAAAAACCTCTCTTCATACAACTTCCCCGCGATTATCACCGATTAGTTTGTTTTTTTTTGCCACACCAAATCGCCTACTACATGTTTTTCCGAAGATGTCACCGGAGTGTCCTGTACTTACGTGTTTAACACAGGCAGAATAAATTCTCGCGCATTAAAATGAATCTACGCGTGCATCTCCATTCTCCGACATTGATATTAAGCTTTCGCACGCTTCACAAGCGTAGCATTATTTATTCAAACCACGCCTAACACATATTTAGAGACAAGATTCGACACACTTAACACAGTACACTACGCGTTTTCCCGCACTTACTACAGTTTTCTAGTTTTCCCGCGCTTGAGAATGGAAGCGAGTTTTCCCGCGCTTTCATATCTACCGCAGGTGGTGTGCCAAATTTTCCCGCGCTAACCACAAGTTACCCGTTTTTCTGAGCTTAACACAGTTTAACTATACTTTCCAGGGTTTTCCACAGCTATCGTGTCTTTCACGCTTGACACAGGTGGCATATTTTCTCGCACTTGACAAAGGTTAAATGTTTCCCGCGCTTGTTATGGGTTACATTTTTCCCGCACTTGCCACAAGTTATGTCTAACCCGCTCAAGACGGGCTGTACCTTTCCCACGCTTGAAAGAGTCAGCCTTGTACGGCAACTGTGACTAGCGAAAACAAACAACAGACAAAAATACTAATAACACTTACTTAAAAATTTCCTGAGCTTTACTGGGTACATTCCGTATCGGCGTTGCTTTGAGTTGCTCACAAGCTAACCAAAACCTGAAAGAAAAAACAAAAACACATGTAAACTTTAGAAAAAATGCTCTTCTATTAAAATAAAAAAAGAAAAAATTATATCAACCATCCTCTATAAAATATTTCTTGCTAAGGATCACTCCTTATTTATATCATGGGGGTGAAAGGTTTTTTTAG